GTATTTATAATATAATTTTAAAATCTAGAATTGCAGACAAATTGTGAATTTATTAAATCCAGATCTCCTGTATAGTTATTAATTATTACAATAGTGTTACATTATTGATAGCAACTGAATGATAAATATTTTCTTAAATCGTACTGACCAAAGTTAAATCAATTTATACTATGTACACTGTCCCAATCGGAAATCGACAACGGGCGCAACATTGCGCCACTACTGACTTATACTGGCACATTACTGGCAGTCAGTGTCGGCCCAGTACTGGTGTATGTCTGGGATGATAACACCGTTCAGTACTGGTATATCAGTAATGGGCCAGTACTTATGGTCGATACTGTCTTTTAGTACTGCTATAGTACTGTATTTTAGTACTGCTATAGTAATGATTTACAATAAGGGCTCAGTGCTGGTGTATGTCTGGGTTGATAACACAGTTCTGTACTGGTAATCAGAAATGGCCCAGTACTTATGGTCGATACTGTCTTTCAGTACTGCTATAGTAGCCAGTAGGTAGTAGGTACTGATTTATATTTACTTATTCTTCTTTATATAATATAAACAACACAAGAAATTATTGACTTATTATTACTGTTTTTATTATTAACAAAATATAACAAATGGTTAATGTATTACATATATATATTAGTTTTGTACCTTACAAAAGAAAAAAAATCTACATTCAATTATTAAATAGTTTCACTCATTTTAATTTTTTTATACAATCTTTCTTTCTTCCCGCCTTCCCTATCCTTTGCACCTGAAAACCAGCGACTCAATTGGCTAGCAATTTCTTTATGTTTTAGATCCGTACATTTTGAAGTAAGTGCTTCTAAAATAAAAATTATATTGTACTTTAAAATAATCTTACTATCTTAGATTGGTTTATAATGAGGTGATCGTATACCTAGCAAGTGTTTATATGTTTCTGTTGTAGAGAAATTTAACTTCTTTATTCCGTTTGTTTCTCTTCCAAAACCACTATACATAACTTGAACACTTTTTGACATGATTTGTGGGATCACAACTGTCATATTGTCAGATAATTTCACAGAATATTTGATGTTAATCGCCATGAAACATTTCTAAAAAATAAATATTTAA